GGGCGAGGAAATCAAGCACAATAACTTTTTCCAAAATCCAAGGTCAGGTTCTCCTTTGTTAGTTAATGTTGAAAATTAAGAGGTACAAGTTCTTTTGCACTGTGTATATGTTTGGAAGCACCATATCCTGGATTTTGGTCGGGTGATATCTCACACCTTTAGACTTAATAAAATTGGGTTACAAAGCAAGTATACAATACGGCCCAATGTCGTCTTTCCAAGTAATAAAGTGGTACAAGTACCGGATTATCGTCCATGGAGATTGTAGCCAAAGTTAAATTAGAGTCCAATAAAAGAGATGATTTCAGATGACGATTTTGAAGACTTTTGTTTTATTGTAAGGTTAATTAAAACATAATACATAATATAAAAAGGAAGCAAGGGTGTAAGACTTAAGGTGAGATCCAAACATAAATTCCAGCAACCAATGCTATAGGAATGCTACAACAAGCAGTGTTTCGAAACTAAGTTCCACCATCTATTTTGAAGGCATTCATCTCGGACTTCACCATTGCACTATATTATAGCTTTCCACCCATATCTCTATGTGGTGTCCGGACCAGGGATAGTGACACGATGGTGTTTTCAAAATATATGGATAAACAAATTTTTTTGTTAAAAGTCACTCTCTCGAGTCGATCCCATATCATTCGAGTTGGCGTGTTCTTGATAGTTCATCTCTGAATCTATCACACTTTGACACTTTTTAACTAGTGACCAACCCGTCGGGAGTTACGTTTTGAAAAACATAAATGACAAGTCTCCTTGTCGGCAACTTTCTCAAGTCTACCTCTTATATCATTCAAGTTGATGTGCTTATCAATGGCTTATCTCTAAGTCCATGGCACTTTAACACTTTCAAAGTGATTAACCCGTCAAGAAGTGTGCTTGGTTTTTATAAAAACTCGAATGAAACAATGGAACGTCGTTTACGAAAACACTTAGCTACTTTCGTTTGGTTTGAAAATCTCACCTTTCCGTCTCACACCCAAGCTATAAAAGCTTAGCTACTCATAACAGAAAGTAAATTAAAAGAAAAATAAATGACAGAAAGTAAAGACATAAACGTAAATTGCGTAAAGTAAATGACGAGAAAATAAATAACGAGAAAGTAAATAACGAGAAAATAAATGACGGGAATGTAAATGACGAGAATGTAAATTGCGGAAATTAAATAACGGAAAGTAAATAACAATAAATGTAAAGGAACATAAAATAAAGAACAAGAAATTAAAAGACAAGAATTTAAAGATGAAAGCTTAAAACTCAAAAACTTTGATTTCTCAAAAGGTTCTCCAAAGTCAGCCCTAACCAGCTAATTTTGATCTTAGATATGTGGTTATAAGGTGTATGGAAACACAAGGCTAAGCCCCCTTTTTGTACACAAAGGTTGGCACAAAACAACAAAAGATTTACCCAAAGGTTAATACCCAAAAGTTAACCAAAGAGATTCTAAAGTATAAGAGTACATATAAAGTCAAAAATCTCTGATTTTAAAAAGTCTTCCAGCCATTTCCAGCTGTCTTCCAGTCAGCATTCAAAAGGCAGCAGCTTAATCGTTAAGCCCTCGCAAAGCCATGCACATATCAGGTGGCTGCTACTGCAATGCTGTAGCATCAGGCTGTTTAACAAAAATTTCTCCATTTGCTTGTATCTTTGAGTCCCAACAAGTTAACCACAATATTTTAGCTCCATAATAATAAAGGTATAAAGAAATTAATCAAAATGACATAAAGTGGGAATGAAAGGAAACTAATTTTAATTAATAAGACGTAAAACAAGTGCTTAATATGTTGAATTCTCAACACATATTAGATTTCTTCCCATGCACCATGAGTTTTCTCCCACGTCCACGTCCTAAAAACCTCTCCTCAGCCGTTCTTCTCAAACACGAACCACATCCTAGAAACCACTCCTAAACCCGTTCACAAAGCCTTACCAGTAGATTCACACTATGTTGTTTTGTGCTTCTATGATGATTTCGCTCTGTCGATTCCCGCTCTGCCTTGCTTTTCTAACTAGTGAAATATCTCCCTCAACCTGCACGATGATATTCAAATCCCTTATATGTGATATGCCAATCATGATCAAGTACTAGGTTCCATCTCTCGCCTTTTCTCTTCAAAATCAAAATCCTCAATTTTTCCTCATTTATCTTTCTTCGTTTCTGAGTCCCTGTGATGAGTTTGTTCATCTTCAACATTTCAACCGGGTTCTAAGTTGTATGTCTTTCTACATCTTGCATTGTACTCAAAATCGGGTGACTTTTACTCAAAAGTTCTCATATTAGGTTTTTCAAATAATTTGAATAGCATCTTCATAAGAGTTTTGACCTAGTTTTTTTAAAGTTCGGGTTTCAAATAAGTTGAAACTATTTGATTTTTTTGTGTTTTCAACCAACTAATTGGTTTATGATCTTCCGTTTGAGAATCTTCGTACTAAAGAAAATCCTATGCATATCTGTTCATAAAAAGTAGAGTTTTTGCAATGTTGCATGCGATGTTGGCTGTTGACACTTATTCAATTGCTACCGTCGAAGCAGTAACAGAACAATGACGGTACAACCAAGTTTCAACAAAAAGCCAAAGGAGGAACAGTAGTATCGGTTTTGGGGACCGGAAAAGGGAACCTCTTTGGCTGTTCATAAAGAATTATGGTACGTGATGTAAGCTGGATAAGGGATCTAACTTCCTTTCCCATGAAAAACTCTTCAATGATCCTAAGCCTTAATTTGGTTTGAAATTGAGAACAAAAAAGTGTTGAGAACAGTGAAGATTGATGTAAGCCTTACTTTGGTTTTGATCCTATTATTTAAAGTTGTTTTTAATTAGAAAATGACATAAACGTCATTTTGGTAACGAAGATTCATAAAATGAAACGCACCCTCACCATGTTGTTTCACCTCATGAAATAAAACACAATTTTCATAAATATGATATTTCACCGCATGAAATCAAACACAATTTCTGTATACAATCTATTTCACCTCATGAAATCAAACACAATTTCCGTCAATATGTTATTAAAAACTCAAATCTGTGAATGGACTTCTACTCTTGAAGGGGGATGTGACTGGTTTATCAGCGACTTAAACATATGTTACAAGAATTGATTGGAAATCAGCATCAAACTAGGGAAAAAAACGAGATGTGAAGGATGAAAGGTACCCCAAATCCAATCCTAACACTAAACCAAAATCAAATTTACCTTACCAGATCAACCCCAAATCAAAAAATCAAATTTACCTTGCCTAGATGAAGAGAATTCGTTCTTTGACGACGACGACGACGATAAACCTAGTGAAGAGTGCGACGTCTATCTACGGCGATCTGAAGGCCTCTTGTCTCTACTACCGCGCTCCCCACGCTCTCCAACATCGCGACCAAGAAGGCACAAGAATCATTGTCGCCATTCTCGACGACGTTCTTAAATCCATAATCAACATCGGTTGTCTTCGAAGTCTTCAACCGTCGGCCAATCCATGCTAAAAAAGTGCAATCATTTGTAGCCGAATATCGATTTGGCCGAGTGAGTGTCACCAACAAATCTAATAAATGGGAAGGAGGTAGGTGTAGAAAGTCAAAGAAGGTCGGCATGTGGAGATAGGAGTAGAAAGTCAAAGAAGGTCGGCAGGTGGTTGAGGCGATGAAATCTGTAACAAAAACCTAATATGCCATTCCACTTTCAAATTATCATTAGATTTGATTTTCATAAATATTACAAAAAATGGCATCACCTCTTGATTAAAACCCTTGGATGATTGATACTAATCGTTATTGTCCTTAACCTTTTTTTGGTTCTCACATAATTTAACCCCTATATATACATATATTCAAATACAAATCAATCTCAACTGTCCATTTACTCTAATAAATATCTAGTTTCATAAAGAATAAAAATATCAATTGTTTCCTAATATAAAACATTGATCATAATTGAACTTTAATCATCTTCCATGAATATCCAAATAATGATAAATGATTCATCATCATTTCTAAAAATATCTCAATTTATTAGTTTGTATGATTTATATAAATGATATGGTTTGTAATTTAAACGAGAACATCTCCATTTTATGAGAACGTGAGAATACCCTTATCACATGTGATAATACGCGTGAGAGGACCCTGTGATGTGCGAACGACGTGTACTACGATTTAGGCCGCACCAAAGGTTGTCTGCGTCACATGTGATGGTCTTGATGGATTATAGTATCATATCAACAACCTTATCACATGTGATAATACTTGTGAAGGGGGCTTACTGATGTAAGAGCGACTTGGCCCGCAACCAAGATCACATCAAAAATCGCATGCGTCTCTGATTTAGTATCATATGTGTATCATATGTGATGGAATAATAGTATAACATGTGATTGTTTATAGTAAAATGGTGTTCTCGTATTCTCATAAAATGAGCGTGTTCTCATTTGAACCTTTTCCTATATATATATGTGTGTGTGTGTGTGTGTGTGTATGAGTATTTAGATCAGTTTATACGTATCGATTAATCCAAAGAATGAAGGAAAATACGAAACCGACATGTTTGTTTGTAGTCATGTTTTTGTGTTTGTCTATTTATGTTTAATTTTGGAATTGAAATATTCCTAACAACTTCCATGTGTACACACACAATCTCATGTGCCCACCCCTAAAAGGGGTTGGACCCGGATCCGAAATCTTGAACCGGTCACGCTCTCTTTTCTAGAAACACACTCACTACTACTACCCTCCTCCACGTGAGTTTACTGTTCCACCCTCACTGCTACAGTTCTTCTCTGTAACTCAACCGCGTCCAGTGGCACAATCGTAATTTTACCACAAATCAAGCCCACTTGTCCTGATATATTCGCGTAGTTAAAGCAAATTGTTTGTGCTTCCCCCACGTGGCCTCATCGTATTGGTCTGTTTACTTTATAAGTAACCGACATCATCTTTTTTTCAACAAATCTCTCTCTCTCTGTGTGAAGATCTCAAAGATAGGGTTCCCCTCTCTCTCTCTCTCTCTCTCTCTATGGAAACTTTGAGTTGGCATGACATGCAGATCTATAGATATGTATAAGATTGTGTATTGGTATCTAGATGTGTGGTATAGAGATCATGGAAGGAGCAGTTTTTTTGTCACGGTGGTTTTCTGATTCGCTTGGTACAGGTCGGGAACGGCTTCGCCGGCGAGTTCAGTTTTTTTCTGTTTTTGCACCTCACTAGAAGGTGAAACCGTGTGGTGGAGAATCGTTATTCGGTGAATATCGGTCCCGCCTTGTATCAACTGAATCAGAAACCGCAGTGAATTTTTTTAGCGGCGGTCGGGGGAATTTGATTTGAATTCGGACGTTTCAGGAAAAGGGTGAACTTTTAAAAAATTATTGTTGTAGATATGGATCTGCAGTTTCAGGTTTGTTTGGAACTTGAGTTTTGTTGCATTCTGCTGTCGAGTTATTGTCTAATGGCGTGATATAATGTAGATCTCTGTTTTTTATTTGTCAAGCAGTGGATTACATTGATAATGAAAAAGCTTGCTGCTTTTTTATTGTATATTGATTGAATCAGCTTCCGTTAGTGTTTCTGTGTTAAGATTTAATTTGGATGTAGCCTAGCTGTTCATAAATGCTCCATTCGTTTGAATCAAGGAACTATCCTTTTACTTTCGATTGCGCGGTTGCTTTTCAACTTAAACAGATAGATTCTAGATTTTTGAAACAAAAATATCTGAACACTACCAGTACTTAAAATAGAATGGGATCATTGCTTTGTTTGTAATAGAAATCGTATCATGTTCTTATTGTAAAGTAATAGGCTTGACATTGCAGATGAAAATGTGATTGTGGATTCATTTATGTGATGCTACTAGAAATGGAGATGACATCACGAAAATAGAGAACTGGACAAATTTGTATTAAATAAAGGAAATAATCTTCTTCTGGAGTGAGTATCTATTTACTTATATCTCAGGTCATCTGCTAACGGAAAGTTGGATTACCAAGGCATTTGTTCTGTTTATGCAGTTTCTTTGGTTATTGTATAAGATATGTGAGATATATGATATTACTCTCCAAAAGGCCATTGAGGAGAGGATGAGGTTTCAACACATATGGGAGAATAAGTCCAAGTCTAACTGTGTGTTCTAACACGCCCCGTCCAATGGAAGCTAGACAGGCACATATGTTCCGGAGTTTTTGAGTCCTCGGTGCATATGTCTCAGAGGTACATCCCTGCTCTGATACCATGTGAGATACATTAAACCTGTTGGATTTATCTCCAAAAGAGCCTTTAGGAAGGAAAATTCCAACATATAATGAGAAGAATAGGTCCTAAATGTAGCAGATATGGGACTCTAACAAGATAAAATTAGGACAAGATAAACAAGTATTTCTTGTGCTTCCTCTTTCAGTTGATAATATGGTATTGAGGGATTGTCCTGATTTTAGTACAATATGGTTTTGTTTTTCCCTGATTTTGCGTAAAGTGGATTCAATAACTGTTATGAATCTGTTTGGTACATGTATTACACGCTTTTCGGTTTTAAGGTCCTTGTTAAGGTTCTGGTCCTCTTTTGTTTTCAACTATGTTTAGTAGATGGAAGTTGTTGTCTAGCTGATTGCATGGCATCTGTGTTTGTAATGTACTTGAATGAATTTTACCCTTTTTGGGAAGAACTGCTTGTAAGGGGTGTGCTCTTTATCTGCAAATTGACAGGTCAAGCAAGTGCATCAAATTTGACTTGGCAGCTAATCTTGCCCAAATTTATCTGCAAATTTTAATAGGATTCAGTCATGTATTATATTTTTAGGAACTGAGGATGACAATTATCTTCCCTTCCTGATGTTTCCTTTTTGCAACTTTGCCATAAATGTACTCGTAAGTTTGAGAACTTTGTCTATTTGAGTTATAGCTCAAAATGAGAGGCATGTTAGAAGGTAACCATATGGTATGCTTTGAGCTGGTTTTGGATTAATGGTAGTATTATTGTTCCTAAACATACCATCTATTTTGTTCTTTTTAGCCGTTTATAGAATGCTGTTGCTTCAAGATTGGCATTAACAAATAACATGAATCTTCTCAATTTAAAGCATACAGTTTGTGATTCTATTGGAAAACATTTTATACATTATACATTTTGAACACAATATTGACATTTCCTTCCTTACATTAACTTCTATCCACTGCTATTATATACTCAAGTGTAATAGTAGCAGTTCTGAGATGCATCAGTTTATCAGGTCATTGGTCTTATGTCTCATTGCACTGGATGAAAAAAGCAAGTTGTTCTTTTATGCTGTGGGTAACAGTGGTATTCATTATATTCATTTTTCATCGATAAAATAAAAACCTAAAACAATGTTGCTGCAATATTCCTTCTCAGACCGATACCTGAAGTTGCATAAATACAAAAAAGAGTGGATGCTTAATCAGTCAACTGTTGATTTGGCTTATGCAATAACTTTCTTACCTACTGTTGATTTGGCTTATGCAATAACTATTCTTACCTACTGTTGATTTAGCTTACTCAATATGCTTTTCACCTACTGTTGATCTAAACTTACTCAATATGCTTTTCTTTCCTACTGCTGATTTAGCTTTCTCAATATGATTTTCTTCTTCACTAGTGATTTCTTTATTTGGTTTGCATTCTCATTTATTTGCCTTAGTTTGTTTCCAAAATATATTCTATTAGTTCCATTCTATCCTTTTGATCATTCTGCTATCATTTTAGCACCCAATCTTGTTTTTTGTTATCAGATAACCATGCCAGCCTATTTGATTTTGTATCCGATTATAAGAAAGTAAATGTTTTACAACTATGGTGATAAGGAGTTATTGTATGGCTATGAGGGTTGAATCATCGGCATCTTCTACTATTAGTACTACTAACGAGGCTTTTTTATTTCGAAGTGAGTTATTATGCCTGATGGCCCTGACCTAGAACAAAGGTTTAACTTTTTACTTGTGACCAAAAAAAGTCAAATGGGCTCTTACATAACCTGCTCCTTGGGTACGTATGTCGTAATATTTCTTTATCTTATTTATTTATAGTACCTTATACCTTGGATACCTACTTCTTAACCTTCTTTTATTCATAGTTAACTGTTTTAAATTGTATAACTGATGGCTTGACTACTGCATGTTTATCCTAAAGAATTTCAAAATGCTAAGCTATACTGTTATGTTTTCTTTCCCTGCAGAGGGGTGACAGGGATTCTTCTCAAGTTAAATAAATGCTGAGGTACTGCTTTGGAGTTGTTGACTCAGTCAGTTAAAATTCTTCTATCTTTCACTATTAGAATATGTAAAGTATGTGAGTAGTCTTTTATTTATAGCATATGTAGATTTAGGATTTTTCTCTTGATTTGACCATCGTAACTGTTGCCTTAATATTCTCTTGTATTTTGTATATATCGTTGATTGCGTCTTTTCGGTTTATTCTTTGCTTCGTTAACGTTGCTTACCTGTTTAGTGTGGATTGCATGGCTATCCCGACATTATTGACTTAATTTGATGTGGTACTTTGACATTTATGGTATCATTTTTAAAGCCAACCTTGCTGATTGTGTGTATGTCACCATCAATGCCACTTGGATCTTAGAATTTAATAAAGTGACTAGTTGTAGTTCAGTTGGCTTGGAGATGTCTATGTAAGAAGGATGCTAAAGTAGTAAGTCAGATGATCATACGTCAACACGTGTACAGATTACAACTGTTTTTGTTGTTTCTAACGCACAGTGGGCACACATGTGAGAATGTTATTCTGACAGTCTCTTGTTGTATTGTGTTAATTCTCTATGCTCTTGTTTGCTTCATTAATAATGGATACCTTGTCGAGTTTGGAATAACTTTGTTTCTGACCCATAAGCTATTTAAGGGTTTGACTGACAATTATTCTGTGTAGACTATTTTAGTAGCATTGAGGAGCGAAGACTTGCAGCATAAGTCGATGATAATAAAGAATTAGGGGTCTCCTCAAATTAACTAGGTAGTTTTCATATAGATACCTGGCTCGTCTTTTGTAAGGTTTCTTAGGGGAATAACCTCCTAACATATTTAAGAATGCCTCTGCCTAATAGAAGAAATGCTTCAAAATTTATCAGGTCACGCATTTAAAAAAAATCCAGTAAAAGGTTATTCTCCTAAATAAACCTATTTTATAATTGGCAATAGAATGCTTCAGCCATGATTTTGTTTGGGTCCATCAGTTGAATGACCTTGTGAAAATTCTCTTTTAAATCCATGACCTTCTGACAGGGTTTAGCATGCCACTTCCATAAATGAGAATGTCACTTTGATACACCAAAATGCCACAAAACTTGTAAGAAGGTTAATAAAAATGTCATTCAAGGTCAATGGCCTAAATAGTTTGATTTTGTTACCATAGATTGCTAAAGATTGCTTTCCCTTAATAAACCATATTCTTTAGGGATTTGTTAGTGACATCACAAGTCATGATTTTGTTACCAAAGACTAGGCAATTTATTTATTTAGTTATGCTCACTGTTGTAAACGTGCCGTGGCTCAAGGCTTGTGTCTCATGCCACGTTAAGCATGTGGCATGCCATGGCGTAATGCTCAGTTTTTGTAACATGATATTTGATTTTACTTATCTTTTTAGTGTCTTATTTGTTAGTTTTTTTAGTATATAACTTAATTTAAATTGTTTTATTATCATTGATTCATTGAGTAATAGTAGAAAATGTATGTAATATTCTATATGATATAGAGATTTGCCGCAATAAGTCACGCCTTAAAAAAAGCCGTGACCTCGCCGTGGCTTCTAAGGCTTGAGGCTTGGCCTCACTGCCACACCACGCCACGGCACGCCTTACGTTACTTAGAACCTTGGTTATGGTAATTTTGGATAAAAGAAATCATTCCCCTGCACATCACTTTCTACATTTTTTTCATTTATTCTCTCCATCTTCAAGCCCTTTTTTCCTTTCTTCCTTCTCCCTCAAAAACAACAATAATTAAGATGTGGTCTTGCAGTTGTGGTTTAGATGTATATAGCACATTGCATCTACTTTATTAATCGACACTTGAGGACGAACTATTTGAGAACTTGTCAATTCACAAGAGCGCATCTCGTTTCCTACGGTTAGCCGTGCTTGGAATTGTCTGTCTGGTTCACCCTTTTTATGCCGAAGAGTCAATGACTCAGCGGTATCCGGGCTATTGGTAGATCTCTAACCTTCAAGCCTCATCAAAAGCGAGGAATGTGTGAGTTTTATTCTTGTATAAATATTATATTTTATCTATAAATATTATATTATATATACTTCCAGAAAAGGAAACAAACTTTCTCTCTATGTGGTTCACATTTTCCATGCCAAGCTGAGCTGGGATTTTTACATCTTGAGTTCACATTTTTTCTCATGCCATGTTGGTCTTTACCAAAAGCGCTTGCACGTTTTTCTATGTATTCCGTTCAACATTTTCTCATGTCATGTTGGTCTTTACAAAAGCGCTGGCATGTTTTTCTATGTAGTTGGTTCATATTATTCTCATGCCATCCAGATCCGGGCCTACATAAGTGCTTGCCCGTTTTAGTATTTATGCAGTTCAAACTAAGGGTGTCTAGACCGTAGTCTATGAGCACGGATGCTCATCTATTAGTTGCTGATCATTGTTGTCTCAAGCTTGCTTGGTACAGTTCGAGAATAGCTCCGCCTATGATCTTTCTTCTGCAAACCTTCCATCAAGAGATGCTCTGGTTTACATGTGGATGATCACTATTCTCGGCTGTAACATGCAAGTTTGAGACGGCAGTGAAAAAATTAATCTCGATCATAACTCAAAAAAGGGTTTGGAACTATTTGGAAAGAAACTGTTTCGGTAATAATATTCCATTTAGATTAGAGTTCAAACTTATTGTTGTTTTTTCCATCTCCATAGAGCATATTACTTTTCATGTCTGTTGATTACTATGTTGGTCATTATTTCTTCTGACAATCGGACAGTTTGCTCATTGCACAACTCTTTGGGTGTAAACGATAGGTATGCGTATATCCCAACTCCTAGATCCTACTTTCCAGTTTGGTTTGTTTGCTGATAACAGTTTCTGCATGCTTCTTGATTATTTCTGTTCTTTTCACTTTTTGTAGGTCATCGTTGCTTTTGCTGGTAAAGTCTTCGTTTGTAGGTCTCAGCAATTGTTTGGTCGTCTTTCATGTAGACGGTTTTAGTGGATGAAAATAAAGAATTAGGGATCCCCTCAAATTAACTAGGTCGTTTTCATATAGATACCTCCATTCCATTTTTGGTATAAGTTCAAGCCTGGACCCGCCATACAACCTATTAGTTGAACCCTTGGGATACGGCACTCTGCTTTATTTAATATCAAGGGATTGAATATCCCGACCTGCTAGAGGCTCCCAAGAAATCTATTTCATCCTTCCGAGACAGTTGAGGGCAATTCCTACATCTGACTCGTCTTTTATAAAGGTTATTTAAGAATACCTCAAATTCTGTCTGAAGGTCATGGATTTAAGAAAAAGGAGAGTTATTCTCCTAAATAACCCTCTGTTATAATTGTCAACAATATCCATCGACCATGTGAAGTTTTTTACTTTCTTGCTAAAGATTGCCTTTTTCCTTAATGAGCATATTCTTTAGGGATTTTTTGGTGACATCACAATTCATGATTTTGTTACCGTAGACTATGCGATTTATTTCTTCGATTATGGTAATTCTGGATAAAGAGATCTTTCCAGGTCATGAATTTAATTAAAATTCCATTTAAGATTGTATACCCAACACTCTTAAATTGACCCTTGAAGAGGAATTGTTTGCAAATCACAGAACTTTCCTACGGTTTGAAATGGTCTCAGGGTTCACATTTTCTATGTCCAAGAAGACAAGCTTTGTCTCTATGTGGTTACACATTTTCCATGCCATGCTTAGGACTTGTGCATCTTGAGTTCACATTTTGTCTCATGGCATGCCGATCTTTACCAAAGTTTCACTTTTTTTGTGCACTGTTCAACATTTTCTCATGTCATGTTGGTCTTTGTCAAAGTGTTTGCACGTTGGTGAATTCACGTTATTCTCATGCCATCCAAATCTGGGCCTACATAGGATACATGCCTGTTGTAGTATGTATACAGTTCAAATATAGGGGATCTAGATCCTAGTCTACAAGCAGTGATGCTCATTTATTAGTTTCTAATCATGGTGGTCTCAGACTTGCTTGGTACAGCTCGAGAATCGGCCCACCCATGGTCTTGTTTGTGCAAACCTTCCATCGAAAGTTGCTGGTTTACATGTGGATGATTGGTATTCTCAGCTGTAACAAGCAAGTTTGAGAACGCGATGAAAAAATTGATCTCGACCATGAATCGGAAAAGCGTTTGGCGATCTTAAACTCCATATCAGGGAAGAAACTGTTTCTGTAATTTAGATTCAGCTTTAAATATACTGCTGTGTAATTTCTCCATCTCTATAGATCATATGGCTTTCCATGTCTGCTGATAAGAGATCAAGAGTTTCTGCATGCTTTTTCGGTGCCACCATCTGTTTTTTTTTTTTTTTTTTCACTTCTTGCAGGTCATCGTTGTCTTTTGCTGCTAGTATGGTTTCAACCAGTCGTGCAGCGATCGTTGATGTTTAAAACTAGCGCTGAAACCGTCACAAATCATCAGACGTTGATGCTTGTGTCGTAAATGCATCTTCAATGAGGTAATCTTTTGAAAGAATTGGTTGTCTTTTACCTTTCTCTTTGTAAATCTGCAATTGTAAGATTTGGTACAATTTTTTTTAATGTTGTATAAATAATAAAATTAGAATATAAAACACAATTAACATTAAGCTGTTTTACACCCTGCAGCAGCAGCCATCTGGATGAAAGAAATGGGAAAAATTTCAGATGCATCTGTGTTAGTAATTAGTACTCATAATTATCGATCCAGCAGGAGCAACATACAAAATACGAGAAAGTCATCAGTTCCAGCTACGCTACGGTTTCATTATCTTTTATTAGAATCCCTTTTTTCTCGATTCAGTCCCACCATTACCGTGAACCCCGGTTAGATTCAGACATGCTCTTCTACCATATTTGTACAAGCGTGGTGCATCTTAACTAATTCCATGAAGACTTGAAGATAACAGACAAAAGAATTCCGATGGTCGTTAAGAGACTCGAATTGGTGATCTATGGTTGACATTCTTCTTTTGATGGTCATGGTGTACTGATACCGTGTAATATTCTCATTTGAGATTGCAATGAAATGAGTTACGTGTAATATTTTATTTTAGTATTTTTACAGCAATTGTAACATCTTCTATTCAATTTTTTTGGTCTCTGTTATTAGAATTTAGGGTATGTGGAATCCTTTGAATCTCTGTTTTAAAGCATTTTAAACAAATTCTACAAAAAAAATTCACATAGAGAATCAAAATTCGAGATCTTCAAAAAAAAAGTTGTATTTAATTTTATTTATTTTAAAGATTATAACATTGATTATATTATTAAAATATTTATAATAAAAAAATATATTTTCCTACAAAACATTTAATGTCAAGATTTTTTACTGATGGAAATATAATTAAAAAAAGATATTTTTTATGATAATTGTTTTTTGGGAAATGTACTCTCTCTCTCTCTCTTTTATGCTTTATTTATTTTGGAGAAAGTTTGCCATAATACCATTTGATGTAGAGATACAACTATACATATATTGTGGTATATATGAAGTGTCTAGAGGTTTTAGGTTGAAATCCAAGAAGAAACAAAAACCTTCTTGTGATTATGAAGGTTCAAATGCGTTGATTTCGGACTATTTGTAAAATAGGTGGTCGTCTTGAGATTAGTTGGCTCACATAACGAGTTGAATATCCAGGTTAATAAAAAAAATATACATATATTATTTGTATCTGATGTAAAGATAGACATCAGATCGTGTGAGAATAAAATGATGACAAGATTTTGAAACTTCATTTTCCTTCAACTAACTTCATCTACATGTATCTTCACTTTTAGTCATTTTCACAAATTTTTACATATATTTAGTCATTTTCACAAACTTTTACATATATTTAGGGGCTGTTTGGCAGTTGCTGAATGATTTAGTGCAGAATAGTTAAAAGGTCAGAATGGTTAAGAGGGTCAGAATGGTTAAGTGCTGAATGGAATAATGTTGTTTGGTAACTGTTCACTGAATGACAGTAAAATTACCATTTTAACCCTCTGAATGATTTAGTACTGAATGAAATAAAGCTGTTTGGTTGATATCTGAATGAAACAATAATTTTACAAAAATAACTACATATTTCATATTAATCCAAACAAACGTAACATTATTAGTTCGAAACAAGATTTCATATTAGTCCAACC